TTGATAATTGAAATGACAGATCATTTGTCATTTGTCATTTGAGTCATTTGCCAGTCATAATCATTTGGCGAACACTGGTTCATAAATAGTAACTTGGCCAGTCTTACAAAAAATTTGGGTGATAATCATCCAATAACAAGCCAATATTTCAAAAAATTAGATTATACAGAGGAGCAATTAGCATTAATATATTGTAAAGGAGTTTATCCCTATGACTATATCGATTCTTATGATAGATTCCAGGAAACAGAACTCCCACCATTCGAAAAATTTCATAGTATACTTAAAGGTAAGATTACGCAAGCTAATTATTAGCATACCCAGAATGTATAGAAGGAATTCAAATGCCAAAATTTAGGTGAGTATCATGATCTCTATCTTAAGATTGACATACTTAATCTAGCAGATGTCTGGATAGAGTTTTGAAAAATGTCTATAGAATATTATGAATTTGATCCTAGTCACTATGTTTCTGTCCCATTACTATTCTGGAATACAATGCTTAAGATGACAGGAGTTAGAATCGAACTTTTTACAGATATGGCTATGCATGATTTTACTGAAAAATCTAAGCATAGTGGTATATCTATGGCCTGTCAACAATATTTTAAGGCTAATAATCCCAAAATAGGAGAAGCCTATGACCCATCCAAATCCACATTCTGAATATTATATGTAGACGCAACAAATTTTTATGAACATTCTATGAGCTAATATTTGCCTATCAGAAAATATCAATGGGAAGCTAGTCAGAAATATTTACTAAAAATCCAGCTATATAGAAGAAATATCTTGAAAAGATTCTCAATACACAATCTGATGCTAAACAAGGGTATTTCTTAAATATTAATTCTTATTTTTCTCTAAAGACTCATAATTATTTAAAAGACTTACCTTCAGCTGTAGAAAATATCGCTGTAGAAAAGGATTGGTTAAATCCTTATAATGCTAAACTTGTAGAACAATTAGATGGTGAACGTTTCTCTGTTATAAAAAAATTAGTTCCCTATCTTGAACCATGAAAGAACTATATCATCCATTACCAAAAACTCCAATATTTGGAAATTACAATCACATGAAATAGTTTAGAGCTTATAGGCAATTACGAAATGCTGGTACTAATAATGAAATGGCTGTTAAGGCTATTTTCCATAAGGATTACAGAGAAAATAGGCTTACAACAGTATCCCAAGCTGAGAGACATCAAATTTGCCTAGATTTATTAAGGATTTGTATACCTGTTAAAGATATTGATGATAAAATACGATATAAAGCTGGTGATATTAAAACATGCATAGAATTTTCTGAATCAATATCATATCTACAGGGTTTAATATTTAAAATGGCTTAAGTATTTAATAATACTAACACTTTATGTAGAGCTAAAAAATCAGGATTAAAAATAATATGAGCGAAACTTAGTTTACTAAATTCAGCACTATATGTGATATATAGGTTGAAATTTAAAGCTACTAATAAAAAGTGTACACATTATCATCTGGTTGGCTCATTTGATAATAAGGATATACCAAAGTTACTTTTATATCAAACAGGAGAAGAGGTATATTGGAATAATGGGAAGAATGCCTAATATGCTTATAGTAAACTCACTTCTGATGAATTAGTATTAGAGAAACTTAACAAAGCATCTTTCAACCCTAGTTTTAGCAAAGTAAATACCGTATAAATTACAGAAGAATTTAGGATTTATTTGATATGTGCTAATATAATACTTCAGGTGGGATAGCTTTCTATTAATAGATTACGCAGAAGGCTACCCTTAATTTATACTATCTGTTAGCATATTACCAAAATACGTTATCTGACTTTGATGTTTGACTAATAGATAAAATAACATTTTTTTTTTGCTTACTTCTTAACAAATAATTCAGATATTTTTACAGGTTGAAGGACCTCAGTCCCATACTTCTGCCTCATCTGATAATTTAGCAAATGAAATCTACCTGAATGATCAGGATAACATCCTATAGTAAAATCTATAAGTTTATCACAACTACTAACAAGGTAGGGTTTTCTTTCCATATTTTTTTCATATAATGTGTGATATTTTGTATAGCTAGTAGTGTGAGTGCAGACTCTTCTGCAAATAGTACTATCTCTTTTGATATATAGGCAAGTAATATGATCCATGTAAGTATTTTATAATATGAAACCCTTTCACTTTTATTGCAGATTAATTTTATAATAAATGTGTATTTAAATTATTTGGTAGTAAAATAAGACATAAACACCTTCTCTCACTTATACTATATACATAATACAAAAAACAGTATTCAATATACTAACTGGCTGATGGGTCGACCCAAATGGAAAGTTATTCCAGAAACTGATTCAAGAAGGTTTCAGATATGCTAATAGACTTTCAAATTATTTAGAAGATATTAGAACTATATACATTAGTGAATTCAAATTAGACATCTTAACTGACTTCTACCATCTAGCTCTAATTCTGTCTTTATCTATCCTAGCTAGTAGATCAGATATTCGTAAAAAGTTCCTTATTAGTATGAAATCCGCTGTTGAGGATGGTATGGGTTTATTTACTCTGAAAAAAAATAAACGATCCTCATTTCAGAATCTAATTCAAATGAATTATTCCAATGATAGCTTATCTATATTAATAAGGATAACTTGTAAGTGTAAAGAGACAAAAGCTTGGAGGAATTATATGCTTATAAAACTTCTCTATAATCCGAATTTAACTACTTCAAGGTGCTTTATATCATGCACTCACCAAAATAAATGCTTTCGAACTAGAGTAGATTTTAGCTCTAACACGAACATTTTACTAAGTATTAACATCTAGGTCTTAGACTATTCATAGCCTTAGGATAGGAGTCCTATAATTATATATTTTTTCGCATATCATATCTACCTGCAGATTTCAAATCAAAGAAATATCCTTTTGACTAGGTCATAGGTTATATTATTTTTTTGCCTATCTGACCTTTTACTAACCATGAACGAGTACTAGAGGATCACATAGTAAATTATTGGGAATTTTTTTCAAATTGAACTTTTTTATGCATAGCATAACCTAACAGTTACATATAATCTAATAGTTACTTCATAGACTAAATTCACATTGTTATGTCTGTGATTATAACAAAGTATGTAGCAGACCACAAACTCAATAAAGAGATGAGCAATAATGAACTTAACTAGCACGCTTCAGCATTACTCGAGCTTTTGACAGATAAAGTGAAAAGAGACAAGAGTCAACAGCACTTTTAAAAAGGATATAATTTTAGCAAAGAGCAGGCATTTATATTAGTTCCTGATCAGAGAATTTGTCAAAGTAGAAGTCAAGTAACTCCTAAAGAAGGAGGGGTGAAGCAAAAGAAGTTAATATATGCCAAGTATCTGATATCATCCTAGACAGAGAAAACTGTCGAAATAATAGCTCAGTGAATTACCTAGGATAATTTTAGCAAAAAAAAATGTAGTATCTATAGTTAAAGCATTAGCTGAATTTGCCTTTAATACTAGCGCTGATTCATCCTGAATCTCTAAGCTTTGAAGTGAATTGTGAAACCTTGAAGCCTCCAAAAAAATTGTTTCAACTACATTGATTCCAGAGATAACTTATTTATCTAATAAAATTCAAAAAGAGCGTAAAGAGCAACGTGAAAATGAAGGGATCGATTTTCCTGACTACTTCTTGCTAGAATTAGTTAAGAAAAGATTAGATAGGTATAATGTATTTAATGTTTCTGACTTACAAGCCCTCGCTGATATAATGATAATACTCTGCGTCCATCCCACTGAAATTAAAGACTTGCACATTTCTAATGGAAGTGTAACTGAATATTCAAAAAACCAAGATCAGCAGGATAATTCTCAGGTGTTTAGATCATTTAAAAAGAGATAAAGAGCGGGCTAAACTTTTCCTTACTTGGATTCAGGATGCGATTTCTTTTGGGCAGTTGAGGGATCCAGGAGTACAAGGAGTTAAATAGTTTAATCCATTTCTGAAAAAAGATAGATTTCTTCCTGAAACTGGTAAATCATTCCTTCCTAGCTATTTGCACAAATTAGGAGCAGTGTTTGTGGTCATTTTAAATGGTGCAAAAAATTTATCAGAAGCTATGATTATTGCCAGTGAAGCACTTCGATATAGTCCTGATAATTATGCCTCCCTAGCATAAAACTATACTATAGTCAATTTTCGGTTAAGAGGACAACCTCATGATCAGGCAAAGGCAATCAAGCTCTTCGATAAAAACTAATCATATATATGAGTTAGATATCATTTATTAATTTATTTTTTTGTTTGAAGTAAGATATAGCATATATAATATATTATAAAAATGGTAACTGATCAAAAGCATTCATCTAATAATACAAATATTGAGCAGGAAAGTTATCAGACATACAGAGAAAATAGCCAAATTACTTGGACCTGAACAAAATGCAAATATGTATAGTATACTTTTTGTTGAAAATAGGATACTAAGAAACAATTGGAAGATTATCATTCCCAACCTAAAACTTTAGAAAGGAGGTAAAAAGATTGGAAAAAGATGTGAGATCCTTAAAAATCGAATTAAAAGATCTAGACGAATGTGTGGATAGGAAGACTATGGTCGACTTAATATAAAAAATGGCTTTCTCGCCAAAGATCAAAAAATGTAAGGGTCTTTCCTATTTATCTGAGTCTTCCGAAGATTCTGATTCAGTTGAGATAATTAAAAGATCCCAAAGGTATCAGGTAGAAGATGTTATTCCTCATAAGCAACGAAAAAAAGTACGACCAAAAAAGGTTAAGCGGTTTATGATTTGAAGTAAGCTGAGCTGAAGGGGTTTAAAGAATTAGATACTTTGTATGATATCTTACCACATAGTTAAGAGCATTGAATAGAGGTTTAATTTTCAATTAAAAAATTTCTAACTATATAAAATGCATACAACTAATTTACTTGATCATCTTTCAGCACAGGATCTAAAAAATGTGTTACAATATAAATGATATATGGGAAAGTGAGGCAAATCTTGAACAATCCAAAAGAAAAACTCTTTTCAATTTTCAGACTGGATCATTAGTTCAAGGCAATTATACGATAAAGGAATTTTATTTGAAACTAAAAGAGTGTAATATTTGCATAGGTTATCCTAAAAAACTTCTTAAAAATATATTCCTCAAAGGATTATCACCTGAGAATAGGATAAAAGTTCATATGGATGGTTTACAAATGCTTGTGTTAGATAAGATTGTGGAAAGGCTTAATTTGGAGTAGTGATTGCATAATTTTTTTGCTGATTAAATATAAAATATAAAATACAATACTTAAAATAGCTTATATAGAATGTAAAGTTTGACATTTTCAAGGAGATGATGATATTAATCTAAAAAGTCATCATGAAGCAATGAAAGCAGGATGTAGATATTATACAGTCAATGCATTGATAGACACATCATCTAGAGTAAATTTTATTAGAAGAAGCTTGGTCAATAAGCTCGAATTGGAATACATTAAATATAAAGAAAAAACAGGTTGGAATATCTGGATTTATCTTTCCAATACGAGGGAAAAAATAGACTAGTATCTTCTAATAGTAACAATATTTTTAATGATTTCAAGGTTACTGAAAAGTTGAAAGCGGACCTTATATTAGGATTACCATAATTATGCTTCGTAAAGCAAAAATAGATATGAGAAAACAAGGATTAATAATCTATGATGATTTTGTACTATTTTGTGAGAAAACAGACTCATCTGAGTTCAAAGAAACCAATGGTTTCAAATATGCGAGTCTGGAGCAGTGATCGCATAATTATATTTTTCGTTTAAAGATACAACCTATAATACAGATTATTTATGATGCATACAAGTGTTTTTAATATAGCAGAAATATTAGAACAGGTTTATATTTCCTAGCAAAAGATAAATTCCTCTAACCTACTTTATTTATTTGCCAATTTTGGTATAGATGTGATGCCCCTATTCTATGGAAACTCATTAAGCTAAATGGTGTTGGGATAATCGAACTCAATTAAAAAGATTTTTAAAAATAATATATGGGAGAGAGCATAAATCAATTTATAACTCAAAATTAACTCATATTAAAATATCAGATTACTAGCTTTCAAATAGAAAATCAAAAGCATTATACACAGGTTTTAAAATATAATTCATTTAGATTTTAAAGGAAATGTAGAATCTGAGTCAATTGGAAAGTTCTAAAGCTAATAGCAGAATCATACCCAAATTTAGAGTATCTCAATATATCTACTTTATGTAATGCATTTCAATCAAAAAATGATAAAGGTCTAACTGCAATTGCAGATTTATGTTATAAATTAGAATGTCTAAATATTTTTAATTGCAGAGAGTTTTCTGAAATATTAACTTGTAACATTATTCATTCTTGCTCAAGACTCCGGCAATTTAATCTTAGCTATTATGAAATTACTGATATAACTATCGAAGAAATTGCTAAATCATGTCTTAATTTAAAATATTTAAATTTGAAAGGGTGTTATAAAATTAGCAAAGAAGCCATAGATCAGCTAAATCCAAATACCCATATCGAGAATTTTCAGGATGCAATTAATATTTGAGCTGATATAGAGTGAGTGATAAAGCTAATATCAATACAACCTCTAATTGCTAATATTAGAACTCAGTCTCACTAGGCATTCTGACAACCTAATTTTAATATATCTATGATGGTTGACTCTGATGCTGATTATTCCATTATAGCTATAAATAGATAAACACTGACTCAAGGTATCATTTCCACCTTAATGTCAAGATCTGTTGATAGATTACTCAACGATCAAGCAGGATAGTAAAATTCTACTGATCTAACTAATC